CTTAGCTGCGTTATTTTATATGACAGTTTCATCTGTAAACGCTTCAATTTTATGCCAAAATTCCGCTAAATTTACGATAGCCGCAAAACGCAAGTAACAAAATGAGAGAAATCTTAATCTTTTTGAGGAGAATAACCAACAGAGGAGGAGAATATTCAGAAAAAACCTAGAAACTTTAAAAAATTTGAAAGTTCCAATTTTTTAAAATCCACGTAATAGTCTAATCACTTGGCAAGCATCAAGTTGGGAAAAAATATTGCCAGATTCTGGACAACTTAAAAATTAATATGACTGAAAAAGTGAGGAAATTGTCAATTCTTTTCAACGAAATTTCTGGATTGGTGATTCTTATGGTCGGTAAAAATCCAAAAAAACTCGGGAAATTGTGAAGATGTAAATTCATGTGAACTCTTATCAGTCGTTTCGGACTAGAACTGGAAAAAGTGAGAGCGAGCAGACGAAGAACATACATACGCACGCATAAACTGGGCGTGTGGAATCTGAGAAGTGCATTTATATTTCGCTCTGTGATGCGCTAGCCCCCGCCCTTCCACGCCCCGCCGTCAGCCCCGTCGCGAGCAGAAAAAGCTGGAATGCAGCCCCGGCTGTTGCTGCTGCTGACCACGCCTTTCTCTTGTGTATCCTTTTATGTTTTAATTCTGTTATTTTTTTATTGCTGAACATTTTGGAGGAAAAAGGCTAGGAAGTAAAACCCGTAGCGTGAGGTACGTGCTGGTCACCCTCTCATCGGTGGACATCGTGCAATAGTAAGTGGTACCCGCGTGCAGCCCAGGACCGAAGAGGCTTAGCAAAGTTGTGCGTGGCGCCTAGAGCTATTCTAGTAACATTGCTAACACAGGATCTCCATACTGACTGCTCACATGGTTTTGGTGATTTTGCTTTTAGTGTTATTGTTATTAGTACGAATTCTTATGTATTAGGTGTTTTCTCCAAAATGTAAGAACGAGCTTTGATCTCTATGTTTTTGTTTTGCTCATTTTTAGCCTATTAGTTAGACTGTCAATCATTCAGCGGCCAGGGTCAGTTTCCAACAAGGAGGACAATTCGGGTTTTTCCGTAGCTTAAAAGTTTAGATCCCAGAAGTTTAGGTCGGCTAATGTCCCCACTTCACACAATACCACTAACACCGAATTCCTTACCAGTTAGGCCGATCTTGCAGATTTGTAGCCTACAGAGAAAGTGCGAATGCGATTGATAAGAGAACTGATTCGGTGTTCGAACTAATATAAAAATGAACGATGCACATGTACAGTTATTTGGCTTACTCAATTTCCGGGTTTCTGAATAGTTCGGAGAGTCGTCAAGAAATCACTGGAGTGAAATGCTATGCAAGTTTGCAACTTTGCTCCTGAGACGCATGCAAACATAGTCCATGAGACTTTGGATGCATTAAAAATGTGAGAGGGGAAGACTCGCCTACTGTCTGAGGTAAAAAATGGAAGTTGATAGAGGTGGGGCGGTGTTTAATGAATCAGCAGGTACATTTTTATCATACCAATCGCCCTTCTGATAATGTCACTACTATTGTTATCAAGTTAATGCCTCAAAATGTTTTTCACCTCAAAAAAATTCCTTTTTCCGGTAAAAATTTCTTTTTTTATGCTTCCGTTTGCATTTTTGCAAACGACAGAGCATATGCTGGGAGGAAGTACAAGCTCTTATAATGCAAAAGAGATTCTTCTGGTTCCTCTTTAAAGTTGCACAGTGTCCATTTTTAGGGACGAGGTTAAAATATTTAGAGTACGCCCAAAGCATGGATGCTACTTTTAGGAATAAATTCGAATTCATCAATCGACAATCTAATCCCATGACGGATTCGCTAACTGTTTTTGATAATAAAATGGTGCTGAGGTGTCCAGTATGTCAGAGGTTTAGACCGTATTTTTTTTACTCCTTAAACCACTCTCGCTGTGCAATATCGACACGAATTTGCACTAAAAGCATTTTGCGCAATAACGGAGTAGAAGATGAAGGATCAGTTTAAACATAACGTGCAAGAAGACGTTTTAGCATCTCTCAGCTGTAAACATAGACCAAATGCAGCACGCTAATAGGAATACAGCTTTCTACTTGCCACTTACACAACGAGCATGTGTTAAAAAGCATAAGAATGAAGTAATGAAAAGTTTGTGGAAAAGACGACAAGA